AAAAAAAAAGGAAAGTAAATAAATAACCTGATTGAAAAACAGGCCTTAACAGATACCTCACCAAAGAAGCTATACAGATGGCAAATTAGCATATGAAAAGATGCTCAACATTATATGTCATCAGGCAAATGCAAATTAAACAGCAATGGGATATCACTAGACATCTATTGAAATGGCCAAAAACCGGAACACTGACAATACCACATGCTACAGAGGCTGTGGAGCAACAGGAACACACATGCATCACTGGTGGGAATGCAAAATGGTATAGACACTTTGGAAGACATTTTGGTGGTTTCTTATAAAACTAAACATACTCTTACCATATGATCCAGCAATCACACTCCTTGGTATTTACCCAAACAAGTTGAAAACATATGTCCATATGAAAACCTGCATGCTGATGTTGATAGCTTTATTCACAATGGCCAAAACTTGGAAGCAGCCAAGATGTCATTCAGTAGGTGAATGGATATATAAACTGTGATACATCGACAATGGATTATTCAGAGCTCAAAAGAATTGAGCTATCAAGCCATGAAGAGATATGGGAGAACCTTGTATGCATATTACTAAGTGTAAGAAACCAGTCTGAAAAGGCTACATATTGTATGATTCCAACTATATGACATTCTAGAAAAGGCAAAACTTTGGAGACAATGAAAAGATCAGTGGTTACCAGGGATTTACGAGGTGAGAGGGATGAATTGGCAGAGCAGAGATTTCTATGGGAATGAAAATACTCTGTATGATACTATAATGGTGGCTACATGTCATTATACATTTGTCTTAACTCATAGACTGTATACCACCGAGAGTGAATCCTAATGAAAACTATGAACTCTGATAACAATGTTCAATGTAGATCCATCAATTGTAACAAATGTACCACTCTGGTAGGGGATGTTGATAATGGGGGAAGCTGTGCATGTGTGGAGCAAAGGGGTATATGGCTTCTGCTCAATACTTCTGTGAACATAAAACTGCTCTAGAAACACAGTCCATTTAAAAAAAATTATCATACTGTAAAAAAAGAAAACTAAGTACTTCTAAAAGTTTAGGTATTTAATTATAGGATTTTTACTGATGAGATGCCTTGTGACTTTAGTATTTTTATTAGACATTCATGAAGTCTAAGGAATTCCTCTACTGGACACTTTGTTTTTAATTCTTAGGTCAGATGTTGCCATTTTGTATAACGATCGCTCTGTCCTTGAGAATCACCATGTGAGCGCAGCTTATCGACTTATGCAAGAAGAGGAAATGAATGTCTTGGTCAATTTATCCAAAGATGACTGGAGGTGAGTTTCAGAGGAAACCTAGAGGAAATTTAATTTCAGGAAAAAGTTAAATTATATGCTTTAAAATGAAGAAAACAGATGAAAGTCAATCCCTTCTCACATTACAAACTCAGTTCCCCTTGACTGGATAACTCTGAGAAGGATTAGTGCCTAGACTTTGGGGGCCGGGCTCTGTTAGATGGAGCAGAACCATTTCCAGGCCAATTCAATATCTATATGCATCATAGCCAATCTGTAAGACCACACACCACACAACAAATACCTTAAGATACGCAATTACATACTCTCTGGAATGGAGCTCTGCTCAAATGTACCAATATGTGTTCTTACATAAATTCAAAATTTTAGTGTCAAACTGATTCTTTCATATATCACTTTTCTATATGTGAAGTTTAGCTTTTTTAAAAAACAAAGAATTCACTATTTGAGGAAAAAACATAAATATAATATACTAAAAAGACCTAGGTACAGAGGGAAATCTTGTATGTTTCTCTAAGGCATCTGTCTGCTTAAAAAAAAAATTACATGGAACGATGATGCTTGTTGCCGTGTAGGGAAAAATAACAAGCTGCACCCCCACACTCCGCATAACCTTTCTTCCTTTCTTCTTGATCCTTAGGTCGTCATCATCCCTGTCATTTGAGTATAGGGTTGCCAGATTTAGCAAATAAAAATAAAAGATGTCCAGTTAAACATGAATTTAAGATAAATATGGAAATTTTTTAGTGTAAATATGTTCCTAATATTTTATGGGACCTACTTAGACTAAAAAGAAAAGATCTTTAACAAAGATCTTGTTAAAAATCAGTTAATGGCCTGAACATGTTCCCATTCAAATGCAAATATGAGATTTTTTTTTTCTTTAAATCAAGGTAAAAAGAAATGTTCAAAGAAAAAGAAGCAACATACGATCAAGAACTGCCTTTAAACAAACAAATAAATAAATACATAAATAAATAAATAAGAAGTTAATTTAGGGTTTAAAACAAGTCCTAATTTCCCATGGTTCTTCAAGCTTCCTGGCTTTTCAAGGCGGCTTTTGCAACGGTAGCAAAAGCTCTCTGGTGGGGGAAGGAGGCACTAGTTTTGGGAATCCAGTGCAGGCCTTTCATTTTATTCCGCAGGAGACAATAGCCCAAGAGGGTTTCCAGACTAGGAAGACCAGGATCTAATTGTAAAGGGATTTAAAATCGACCACTGCGGGGCTGTGTGGAGAATAGCAGGGCAAAGGTAGACGCAGGGATACGAGTTTGGAAGTATTTCCTCAGGTCCCAGAGATCGACTGATTACATCTAGGGTATTAATTTATTTCTTCTTCAGTGATTCTCATTCCCAGAGGTAACATTTATAATATTAAGTTTTTTTTGTTATTCCTTTGAATTAACCTTTTTTCTTCTCAAAGTTGATTCTATTGCTATTTCAGTGTGATTTTTTGCTTATTATATTTTGTCCTTTAAAATCTTTAATAGTTTATTCTAATAATTTATTCCTGTAATATTTTGTAAATTTCTGTATAGTAACTTCTCAGAGTTATCCTAATTGAATGTTTTGATAGAATTGTTTTGGCAAATACTATAACATCATGTAGATTGTAGAATTTAATAGATCCAATACTGTTTCCAAAAAGCTACAAAAGATCTATTTGCTAGTATAAACTTCATAATGTTTTACCAAGAATTAAAATATGGCTAGCTTTTTAAAAACTTGTAGGCTTTCTGTTTGTATATCTGTTTATTTCTTAAAGTAATTTTAGCAACCATAAATGCAATAATTAAAACATTTTGGCAAGAGAAATTCATGAATAAAGGAACATTTCCCTTGTGCACTATTTCGCCTAGTTTATTGATATATTATTAGTCGATTATTGATAATATCTAGCATTTACTGATCACATCTGCAAAGCACAATGTATTTATTAAATTTTATAGATTTCATAGAACTTTTGTCTCGTTTTTCCTTACTTAACGTGAATATTTTGATCAGTTGCTATTGTAATATAGGTCTCTTCATAATTTCAGAGAAAAAATGTAATTGAGAATAGTTTTATGAATTATCTTTAATAGCTTCCATTCCCTTAATATTTAGCTAAAAGTATTCTAAGCAAGCTATCCAATAGCATGAACAGTAATCAGTGTTGATTTCTCATGACTGCCATGTAAAAATCCAATTTTTAGCACCCATGATTTTCAGCAAGAACCTCCAAAATGTGGTTGTTTTAAAAAGATATCATTCAGTCAGATCATCTTTAGGTAAAATATCTTTGACACAAGATCATAATTCAAGTTTACCACATATGTTTAATTAAGCTTACTCTACTGGCCATGCCACAGAATGAACACAAAATCTGATTTCCAGTGTAAGTGACTTTTCTACCTATCTGCACTGAGCAAGCAATGAATTGTAGAGCATGTGAGCCTTTGCTGGGGTGACTTATCTCCCGCTCAGTGTGAGAATGGGTTATTCGTGCATTGGCTTTGTGATATGGTCACTGTATTTACAACGTCTTGGTTAAAATTTCAATAGTACCAATAGCTCTGTCTAGGACTTGTAGAATCAGGGTCCCAAAAGCTTAAACAGAGAATCTCCACTTACTTTAGTGTCTTGGTTTTTCTGGGGTTCTTACGATGCAAGGTCGGCACAGTGGAGTGGTCCACGTGTCAGCTTTGGGAGTGGGAGGTTGGGGTTGAATCTTGTCTCTGCTGTGAACTAGCTGTGGGACTGGGCAACTGACTCAATCTCCTCCGGTGGCAAATAACAATACCCTCTAATATAAACGCACTTAGAACACTGCCTGAACTGAGTAAACCCTGAATAAATAGTGGTGGTTTTATTAACAGCAAATTCTGCACTTAGAATAGTTTTTCTTTAAAATTGGTTAGGATCCTTTCAGATAGAAAAAACAATATCTAGGAATTATGAGTAGGGGAGGGGTGTGAGTGTGGGAGGGGAGAGCATCCAGTTCTTTAAGGGGAGATGGTAAACAGCATCATTCACAGATCACTCTCTTGGCAGCTTCCTGAAGCCAAAAGAGTTAAAGGGTGAAATAACATCAAACTTTTGTGAGTTCTTTTACATTTAAAAAGTAGCATCTTTTGTGCTCATGTGCTCATATCCATTAAGAAAAATAAAATGTGATTAGTGATATTTAAGGAAATCTTCCTCTTGAGAACAATAAAGGGCCAAATAAATGTTTCTCTTTTTAATGACTCCACAGGGATCTTCGGAACCTAGTGATTGAAATGGTTTTGTCTACAGACATGTCAGGTCACTTCCAGCAAATTAAAAATATAAGAAACAGTTTGCAGCAGCCTGAAGGGTAGGTTATTTTCTTTTGTCGTGTTAAAGTTCCACGGGCTTGGACTCAGAAAAAACTGTAATTGGTTACTTTGTTGTGATAATTTGAGCATGTCCTTGGTTTGACAGAATCGACAGAGCCAAAACCATGTCCCTGATTCTCCATGCGGCAGACATCAGCCACCCAGCCAAGTGCTGGCAGCTGCACTACCGGTGGACCATGGCCCTGATGGAGGAGTTTTTCCTGCAGGTGCTTCTTTTACCCTTTGTGCAGATGTATTTGGAAACAGTGACTGTGCATATTGACATACATTTTTTCTGTACAGAATCCAGGGCTTGTGAGTTACTATTATCAACTGGTCACAACACATTCTTGGGACTTTAGGCAGAATTTATTAATCTTTCAGATAAATGTATTAAATAATCCTACATTGTATAATACATGTTTTAAAGAGAATCAAGTCTTGGATTGCCACTCTCAAGAAAGAGAGAAACAAATTAGAGTTGTTATCCGCTGTTAAGATGTAAAATGCTAGAGCAGAGATAGCAAATAGCTTTCATTATAAAAAGGAGAAGGGGAGGCTATATAAAACTTCTGCATACATCTTGTTGGTTAGAATTTAATCATATATGCATAGTTGCAAGGGAGGCTGAGAAATAGTTTTTAGCTAGGTGGACACATGCCTAACTAAAAAGATCTATTGTTATGTGAAAAAGTGAGTCTGGATATGGGGAATGGCCAATGGTCTCTACCACAAGTATACATTGTTTTCTCTATAGTGTCCCTGCTCTGTTCCCATTCCCACCTGGGATATTACAATTGTGATGCTAACCACCCAGTGTTAGCATCAGATCCCACAAGTCAATGGCTCAGTCTTCCACAAGACTGGCTCCACTTCAGATGCCAGCCCCAAGTGGGGACCCAGGACACCAGCACTTCTGATCACTGGTTACAAATTCAGGGGTTCCCACGACCCTTCCCAGGTTTGATAATTTGCTAGAATGACTCAAAGAAGTCAGAAGAGTGCTATACTTACAATTATAGTTTTATTTTAAAGAATACAACTCAGGAACAGCTAAATGAAGAAGTGCAGAGGGCAAGGTCTGGAAGGGTCTCAGAAGTGGAGCTTCCATGCTCTCTCCCCATAGACTCAGGATGTGTCACCTTCCTGGCACATCAATGTGTTCACCAACCAGGAAGTGCCACTGAGCTTTGGTGACCAGAGATTTATGAGGGTTTCGTTACATAGGCATGACTGATTGAATCATTGGCCATGTGATTGAACTCAACCTCCAGCACCCCTCCCCTCCCAGGAGATCAGGCTGGCCCAAGTTACAACCCTCTAATCATGTGGTTGGTCTTTCTGGTGACCAGCTTCCATCGTGAAGCTATGTAGGGGGTCTGCCGGGAGTCACATAATTAACATAACAAAGAGTCTCCTTATCACTCAGGTAAATTCCATGGGTTTTTGAAGCTCTGTGCCAGGAACCAAGGACAGAGATCAGATATGTTCTTTGTTATACCACAGTCCCATTTAGAGAAGCTCATCTTTTATTTCTGTAATTTCAGTTGGTTTGATTTCTCTGTGTTGTTCTTTATTTTTAATGTTTCATTATTGATTTTATACCTATTCTGAAGATACAAAGATGAAATATGTTACTATATTTGGATGACTCTTCTTTCTGTCTCCCATTGTCAGTGGATATGATGTATGGTTTCACTTTGAAATAGCATTGCATAGTCCCAGAGAAAGTTACTGAGTAGCGTCTTCCAAATTCAAATATTTTCATATTAAAAAATAGTTTTTAAAAAATATTTTAATACATTTTGTCCTAAAAAAAGACCAAATGTTAAAATCTGTCCAATCTTGAAGGCCAACTACATGCTATGGCCTATTAAAAATTACACTTTTATATGTTCAACCAATCACTAACCAAAAAATGGTATCTCTAAAGAGACCTCGAGATCTTTAAGAACAACATTGTCATATTAGAGATGCAATAACAGAAGCATGAAGAGGTAAAATGACTTTTCTCAGGTTAAAAAGAAATTTTAAAATATTTTAAATTAAATGATCATGAAAACACAACATAAAATTTGTGGGCTGTGGCTAAAGCAAGCTTAGAGGAAATTTTATAGCTTTAAATGCTTATATTAGAAAAGAACAAAGGTATAAATAAATTATCTATGTTTCCACTCTAATAAGCTAGGAGAAGTTAAGAAAATTAAATCAAAATAAGTTGATGGAAGGAGGTAATAAATATAAAAGCAGAAATTAGTGAAATAAAACAAAGACAAGCAATACCAAAAATTAACAAAGACAACAGCTGGTTTTCTGAAAAAACTAATAAACTTACCAGCAGGATCAAAAAGAGAAAAAAAACGCCACTAATTGTCAATAAAAGAGGTGATATCATTATGGATCCTATATATAGCAAAAGGATAAGGAATATTATGCACAAGTTAGGCCAATAAATTTGATAATTTAGATGAAATCACCAAATTCTTTGAAAGATATAAATTACCAAAACAGACCCAAGAAAAAAATTATAATCTGAATATCCATGCACCTGTTTTTAAACATTGAATTTGTACTTTAAACCCTTCCCATGAAGAAAACTCCAGGCATAGATGGCTTCAATTCTTAATTCCCATTTCAATTCTCAATTCTCAATTCAACTGAAAGAGGACGAATTCTTCCAAACTTTTCAGGAAGAAATAATGCCAGTCTTAAACAAATTCTTTCGTGACACAGAGGAAGAGGGAAGATTGTCAGTATAACCCCTGACAAAACCTGACAGAGAGTTTGCAAGTAAAGAAAATTACACACCCATATCTGTCATGAACCTAGATGGAAAATTCCTTAAAATACTAGCAAATCCAACGTAGCAAAAGAATACATACCACGACCTGAGTTGGTTTAATACTCAAAAAGCATTTAAGGTAATTTACCGTATTAAGAGGAAAAAAGGGAATAATATCATGTTATCATCTCAATAGATGCAGAAAAGCATTTGACAAAATTCAAAATATATTAATTTTAAAAACTTAGCCAACTAGAAATAGGAGACCTCTCTCAACCTGGTAAAAGGTGTCTATGGTTAACAATACTTTACAGTAAAGTATCGAACACTTTTGTGCTGAGATCAGGATATTACTCTTACCACTCCCATCCACCATTGCATTTGATGTTCTGGCCAGCGCAATAAGGTAATAAAAAAACAAAGAAGAGATTGGATAAAAATAAATAAAAGTATCTTCGTTTGCAAAAACATGAGCATCTCCATAGAAAATCGTAAAGAATCTTGTAAAAAGCTGTTAGAACTGATAAATGAGTTTATCAGGGTTGTAGGATCAATTGTATTTCTGTATGCCAGCAGCAAACAATTTAAAAGTGAAATTTTAAAAACAATATTATTTATAATAGCATAAAAATAATATAATATTTGGGAATATGTTTAATTAAGTGCATGTAAAACCTTGATACTGAAAACCACAGAATATTGTTGAGAGAAAATTTTTAAAGACCTATATAAATGGAGAGATATAATATGTTAGTAGATAATATGAAAGTAAGTTAGTAGATTCAATATTGCTAGGATGTCAATTCTTCCAAAATTGATTTATAAACTTAGCATAATCTTATCAAAAATTGTAACAGGCTTCTTTGTAGAAGTTTAAAGAAAAGCTGATCCTAAAATCTACGTGGAAATGTAAGAATCTAAAATAGCCAAAGCAATTTTGAAAAAGAGTAAGAAAGTTGAAGCACTTATACTTCCTTATTACACAACTTGGTATAAAGCTACAGTAATCAAGGCAGTGTGTTATTGACATAGGGACAGGCAAATAGATCAATAAAATAGAATAGGGATTCCAGAAAAAGTCCCATACTTAGATGGTCATTTGATTTTCTACAAAAGCACCAAAACAGCTTACTGGGGAAAGGCAAGTCCACAAATGACAATGGAACAACATTTATTAAATGTATGAGAAAAACAACTTTGTCCCCTACCTATAACATATATAAAAATTAATTCAGGATTGACCACAGGCTTAACACAAAACCTAAAATTATAAAGTTTCTAGAGGAAAACTGAGGAGAATATCTCTCTAATCTTGAGGGTAGACAAACATTTCTTAGAGAAGACACATAAAGCTCTACCTATAAAAGAAAAAACTGGTAAAGTGGACAAAAGCGAAATTCAAAACTTCTGCACTTCCAAAGATACCACTAAGAAAAGGCAAGCCATAGACTAAGAGAAAATGTTTGTACTACAAGTATCTGTCTAAGCCTTGTTCCCAGATTGCATAAAGAACTCCTACAAATCAATAATAAAAAGAAAAGCAGCCCAATTTGATTAGACACCATATAAAAGAAAGTACACAAATGGGTAATAAGTACATACAAGTATGCTCATTATCATTACTTATCAAAGAATTGTAAATTAAAAGCAAAATGAGATACTACTACATCCTCACCAGAATGGCTAGAATTAAGAGGACTGACAATATTAAGTGTTACTGAGGATGTGAAGCAACTGGAAGTAACAGGCATTGCTGGTGGGAGTATAAGTTATTACAATGCATCTACTGGTTAGCACCAACTAAAGTTAAACTTAACATCCCCTATGACCCAGCATGTCCTATGGGTATAGTTATATAACCCAGATAAATTAGTACTTATGTCCACCAAATGTCTTATATAGAAGTAGTCATAACAGTATTACTTATGATTGCCCAATACTAGAAATAGTCCAAATGTGCATCAAAAATAAAAATAGATAAATAGATCATGGTATAGTCATACAATGGAATGTCATATGATAAAAAAAATGGACTAACAATACAAACAATAAATCTCAAAAAATGCACACTGTATGATTCCATTTATGTGAAGTTCAAAAACTGGCAAAATTAATCTATGGTGATTGAAATCTGAACAATGGGTGCCTACACGAGGTGGGATTCACTGAAAGAGGTTAAAGGAACTTTCTGGGGGTGATGGAAGTGTTCTGCATATATCTTGATTGAGTGTTAGTTAAACAAGTGTGTTTGTAATTTACACAGTAAAGATTTGTACATAAATTTTTTCTTGATTTAAAATATATCAGAATGAAGGTACTTCATCGATGACTTAAAGAACTCTAAAAAATCACTGTGTTAAAAAAAATCTCAGAAATAGAAGTACAATGATGTACACCTGAAATTTTTACAATGTTATAAACCAATGTTACTGTAATATACAAAAA